GCTTCCCAAATTTAACTGAACACAAAAAATATAACAGAAACACTTGTATATCACTTACATTGCCAAAAAGGAAAACAATTTTGTATTGAAATCGAAAAAAATTGTCATACCCATAAAAAAAGCAATTTTTTTGTTATACCCATTACAAGTGACAAAAAATCGAAATTTTATTCAAAGTCATCAACAATCTTGAATGGAGTGAATGAGTAATGGTGTTTTATTTAATTTGCTGTTTTTTTGTTTTTGTTATTGTTTGCATTTGAACATTACAATAAAACGTGCTCAATAATTTTTAAACAAAAAAAAAAAAAAACAAAATGAAAATGAAAATAAATATTGAACAGAGAAAACACTGCATTATATGGCAAAAAGGTAGTAAGTGAATATCAAATACAATTTTTTGACATTCAATAGACTGGCAGACAGACAGTGCAGTACACGAGTATATGACTGGCTAGGCGGCCAGCCATATGAGTGTAATGGCAATGCAATTGTGGTTAAAATTAAATTACAAAAAAAAAAAAAAAACAAAAACGAGTAAAAAAAAATAGTAAAACAAAACTCGAAACCCAAACCAACATTCCAATGAGAGTAAAAACTCTAAAAATAAAAACAAAATAAGAAAAAAAATATTGGCATATGATGTCATCTTTGGTGGACTTCAATACGAATGCAGGCTTTAGGAAAAAAATAATGTGCTCAACAAAGTTTCACAATAATATATATTTTTTGAAAACAACGGCTACCGCTGCTTACAGTCGTCCGCCGTTCCGACCATACCCCAGACACTCAAAAATTGTGTTATCTGTATTTTTTGTTTTTGTGGATATCCCGCCGTTTTTTTCATTTTCTTGGAGTTTAGCCTTGAATTTCGTCACATACAAAAATAAAATTTCGGCTTAACTCCACACACACTGACCTCCTAACACCAAGAATTATAATTTATTGAGTGAAGTAAATGAGAAAAAATAATACATATGTGTGAAAAATAAGAGCACAGACTCGAGTTGAGCCACCTCGTTCCTGAAGACGTTCAATCTTATTCGGTTTAATCCGTAAAAGGAACTAGTTCATTCATTAAGATGCATAGTTCATTTTAATCGAATAGTTCATAGGTACAGGTCAGTTAATTCATTCAATGATCGGGAAAATGGAACAATAGGAAATAGATGAATGAAAGAACTGAAGCAAGTACCGATCGTATCGTTTGGGGATTGGTTCGTTCATAGCCACAGGTCAGTTAATTCGTTCAATGAACGCAAATATTCAAACAAAAGAAACTAGATGAACGGAAGAACTGAGCCTAGTACCGATCGTTCCTTTTGGTGAATGGTCAAGGTGGAGATTCCAAACCTTTAAATGGACTATATGATTGGATTTGTTGCAAGGAAACGCACTACAAGAATTTATTTGTATATAAAATAGGAAAAAGAGAAGCGCAGGGATAGACAGTAATGCCCACCATTTTGCTGCTGAATAACAAGTGACGTTAGGTTTTAAGAGTGAAGCTTAATTTAGGTTACTTCGTTAAGTTTTACAATTCACAAAACATGGTTAACGAAAGTACCCGTTTAAAACTAAAATTTATATGACAATTGAAAATATGCTTAATCGATAAGAAAATTTATTTAACTTAGCCTAATTATAAATACAAAATACATTCAGTTTGCAGGCCCTAAAATATACATAATTTAAAATGATAAATTCAAATATATCCAGGTTCCTTGGAACTAGTTCATTCGGGGAATCGGGTATTTTTTAATCATATGCTTAAGCAGATTATTGTCCATTGCTGTTCTCGAGATTACAGAGGTGTATTTTAGAATTGGTCTAATAACGCTCTTGTAGATCAAATGCATCATCTTTCGATTAGAATCCCATTTAGAGCCTATAGCTTCCGTTGCTGTATGTGGTCTTTCCATTTAAGCTTCCCATCTACGATGACTCGCAGATATTTAACTGTATTTGTTTTAGAAAGATAGACTCTTCATACTGTCCTATATTTGACTTTCTGGTGCAAAGACATATCTCCGTCTTGTTCGGAATAGGAAGTTTAATGCCGTTTCAGCCTTTCTATATATTAAGATTGGATTCTTTCCCCCTTTAGAAGTATTATAACATCGAATGCATAATAGATTGGTTCAAATCCCTCAGTGGTTATGGCCCATAAGAGACCAGTGGGCTAAATTTTTTCCATAGCATATGACTTGATCCAGCATATGACTGTCGGGTCAACTTGAAAGGATTATAAGGATTGGATAGGCGTTTCAGTGTTCACATTGTTGGAGGATCGACTTCGATCAATGATTGTCTAGACTACGTTGAAGACTTCTAATGATTAGATAAGCATTTCCGTGCCGTTATTATAGAAGTCGAAGTCAATGCCTACATTTTAAGTATACATTTTTTGTCGAAGGTACCTCCAATGGTGTGTACTACCAAAAGCTGATCTTCCCTTTACATACGCATGTTGTTTATATTTTATCATATTATTCTCTGCGTTGTTCCCTATCATCCTTTATACCGGATAGTTATGTATTGTCAGCTATGGGTTATTCATATATTCCTTAGCATATTACTGATCCAGTCCTTGAAGGCTCCCTCGATGTCAATGCATACAGCGATATTGTACATTTTTTGTAGAAAGTGCCTCGTGTATAGAGGCTTCCACTGATCTCTCCTTTTCATACGCATCGTGTTTCTATTTCAGGGTATCGTTGGGTACATTGTTATTTATCAGAATCCCTCCCTGCCGTATCCCCTGCTTTTTTGTCCCCTATAGTTATATCTTTTTGGCTACAGTTTACTCATCTATTCGTTTGCTTATGGTTGACCCAGTCCAAAATTGCCTGATCAACTCAAAATTGCCTGATCATTCTAAGGATTGGATACGCCTTTCAGTGCCGACATTAATGAAGACTCCCTCGATATCAATGCATACAGCAAAGGTGTACATTTTCTTTTCAAAGGTGCCCTAAATGTGGTGTACTACCTCGTGTAAAGCGATCTCCACTGATCTCTCGCCTCCGTTTCCACCTGCTGTATGTAATTTAGTGTATCGTTCGGTATGTTTCTCTTAGGCTTATTGGGCGGTAAGGTTTTGGTGCTTGCCACGCCACGTATAAATAATAAACTGGGGTTTCCTGTCAGGCCTTCGGGATGGCGTAGATAGTCGGTTTTCTTTTTGTCATAAAGCCTAGATCTGCCACTTTAAATGGTAAGGAGCTCTTCAATGTATCTCGTATCATAAAGCTTAGGATCCTCGGAGCTTACTTCCCTTATTACCGATACATCATCAGTTGCCAATGTATTCGTTAGGAAGTGAGCTTTCATGAGAAGCCTTATGTGTTTTTCCAAGCCTACAACCTTCATCAATCATAGAATCCTCGGATCATACACCTCCCTTATTGCCGTTACATCATTATAAATTATCAATGTGCTTGGCGTAAAGTGAGATTTCATCAGAAGCCTTAAGGTGGAGATACATAATAGGCTTTCAGGCATGGCAGGTTAAGTTGGCTTCGTTTGGTGTAAAAGAATAAGAGAACAGCGGCAAAACTTAAACTTGAATCTGTGAGTATGAGTTTTTGAGAGAAACTTCTTGATTTTTGAGACGTTGTTTACGCTATCTACTTGATCACAGAAAATTTTCCAGGAGTTAAGTTTGGCGGTTTAAATTGTGAAAATTCCTTCAGTGTACTATTGATTCACTGACCTTAGGTTCCTCAGACCTTACGACCTCTTTTTATCAATATGAACTCTCCATAAAAATGCGCTGTTATCCCTAAAGTAGCTTAGGTTTTTAATCGTTAATAACGGATCAATTATTGATTTTATTAATTAAAAACTTTTATGAAAAACCTTATTTACCTTTGTTCACTTGTTTCGATCCTTTTATCCTCCTGATACATCTATCATTGTTTTGGTTTGAGAATGAGTTTTTAATATAAACTTCTTTAAGAGAATTGGTAAATATAACTCCTGGAAAATCTTCTGTGATCAGGATAATTTAACCGGTTCACAGAAGATTTTTCAGGAGTCGCATTTGCCGATTCCTGTCATTTTGATGTATTCTTTTCGCTTAGCGTGGAAATGGTTCCAGTTCACTATAGATTTCCTATTGTTAATTATCAATGTAGGGATCTCTAATTAAAAATATATGTGTTGCCAATTATAAAATCAATCACAATATTCAATAGAGTTGGTGTTCTTAAAAATTTGGGATAAATCTTATGCCATCATGTAAGCTCCATCAAATGTGACCTCATAAATAAACATTTTTAAATTGTGCTATTTTATTTGTCACGCATGCAAGTTGCCGATAAGAAACCAAGAACTTTACCAAAAAAAAAAAAAAAACATATTTCCCAAGAATTAAAAATACCAAACAAAATTTAAATAAAATACGCAAGGCATATGGAATAAAATTATGCAATAAACACACACACACACACTGACACACAATTCATTTGGGGTTTGGAGAAAAAAAAATTATCAAAAGACAAAAAATTAAAACTCCCAGAAAAATAACAAAATAAATTTTGAAATATTTTTTACAATTCTTGTTAATAAAAAAATAAATCATAAATGAAAAAAATTAAAACACGACCCTAGGCAATATGGTAATGATGTAGAAACATACATTACAAACAACTGTAAATATATCAGTACCCAAAAACACCATTATCAAATGACACAGTCTTTAAAAAACAAAGCAGACCATAGAGATTACAATAATAAAAAAAAAAATCGGGGATGGGTGCAGTACGACAATGGTGGCTAGTCATTAGCTCAGTGTTTTTGTGGTTGGGGAGAGCTATGAAATCATTTCTGATGATGAAATCATTTACAACAATTAGTCTCAGCTTACAAATTACACACACTTGTTAGCTATCTTGTTATTAACACTTCCACAATTGATAGCTTCTCTGTTTTTCGATATTTAATTCAATTAAAAAAAATAAAAAAAGAAAAATCCCACGAGAATTCCGTCAACTTACCAATATTGACAATTTTGATACCCTCATCTTCGAGGAATTTCAATGCCACCGAAACATTTTCCAATTTCTGTGAACGGAATGTTGGCCTTTTATTATATTTGGGCATACGTTTCTGTGACAACACCTCAATCAGGGCAATTAGTCGTAGACCATCGGATAGATCACTTTCCAAATTGCTAATCGAACGATCGATGGTTTTTAGATGTTCATTGGCCCAGCGGGTAAAGGTATTCTGTTGGATTTTCTTCCATTGGGCATCTTCGGCCAAATCACGTTCAGCTTCCATTTCTTCGTCGAAGTTTTCGTCGTATTCCTGGAAAAATTCAACAAAAATATGATACAAAGATTACAAGAAATGTTACCAACTATAAAAAGCTTCCTTTAAAAAAATAATTTATAAATTATATATCATTGGTTTTAAAAAAAAATATGTAATAAAACTTAAAATTCATAGAAATTATAATTCTCATGGTTGACATAAGAGCTAAAATAGGGAGCGGCAAAATCAACGCCCGTTTACCGATGGTTAATCATTGATGACGCGTTACAAATAGAGTTGCATAGTTTCGAAACGTACTAGTTCAAACGGACTATTCAGCAAAAGGAACGATTGGTACTAGTTACAGATATGCTTGCGAGGACGTGGGTACCTATCTTGCGATCACCCATTGGGCTGTAAAATCCAGTTAATAAAAAGCGCAAACAAACCTTCGGCCATGTTCATAACCGTAGAAGCTTTTGCCAGTAGAATTCCAAAAAATCGACACTGGTCAACTCAGACTATTGTTCAGCTTCATAGCCAAAGCTATTACCATTAGAACTAATATTTGCAGGCTCTCTACAATGGAACAATCGATGAAAGGGGATAACAAATCAAGAGTATGAGCTAGGTATAGTTATTTCTTTCATCCAGATCCTTTTGCTATATTCGTTCTCATGGATGAATTTAACGCTAAAATGCGGAGCGACAAAACCAACACCGTTGAGCTGTTCCGGATTGAACTAGTTCAAATGAACTATTCTTCAAAATGAACCATAGGTACTAGGTATGGTTCTGTAGATCATTCAATTCCTCTTGATCTAATCGATCCGTTTTGCTTTCATTCACCTAGCCACCTTTTGATGCGATCGTTCTCCTAGATATTTCCGTTCACTGATCAAATGAACTGACATGGAGCAATGGACGATGGAACTAGTTCCTTTTACAGAGCGAACGGAAGAAGATCGAAACGTTTCTAGAACGATTTTACCCAACTCTAGTGAAAAGTAATAACGATGAGCTAGTCATAGAACTGTGCCAAAATTTCCCGCTAGTTTTTAGTGGCTCTAACTTCCCAAACAATGAGACTCATAGGTACACATAAATATAACCAAGCAGCTCCACTGGATATCCACAGACTATAGCCACTGCTCAGCTTCATAGCCAATGTTACTCTCATTAGAACTAATATTTGCAGGATCTCTACAATGGAACAATCGCTGAAATGGGATAAAAACGTCGTTGAGTCGTTCCGCAAGGAACTAGTTCAAATAAACAATTCTGTCATTCATCGAACTCCTTTTGATTTAGTCGATCATTTTGCTTTTGTTCACCAAGTTCCGTTTGGAACATTCATTTAATTCCATACCTTCTTTTACTTCAAACATTCAATGGCATAGGTCGGTTAATTCGAACGATTGGATTAAAAATAACCTTGATGAAAGAAAGAACCGAACCTAGTGCCGATCGTGCCTTTTGCAGAACAATCCCTTTGAACTAGTTCGCTCCGCAAAACAGAACTGCTTGAGGTGGTTCACCGTGATGTATGTGATCCGACATAGACGAATCACCACATGGACGGCTGAAGTGAAGCTTCCGCTGAACATAATGCTCGATGGAGAACTAATTGCGACCACAAACTACCCCAAGATACCGAGTGTAACATTCGCTAGCCTTTTTCAAGTCGTCTGCGGGAGCTACTGCTACTGAATAAGGTCCTTAGCCGACAGAACTTGGGGAGCTGACAAAGAAACCTTGTTGACCTTTAAAAAACAATAGACCGGTAAGTGGTGAGCTATGCGGCGCCAGTGTGGTTTCCCCACAAGGCACGCCAGGAGAGATCTTCATGATCTAGAGAGAGAGATGTCCAAAGTGAGAACGCTTAGTTCAAGAAGCCTATCAAGCAGGTCTGAATGACATTCACACAGACGCAGTCGCTCAGGCAGTAGAACAATATCGTGTTCTGATTGAAGAATCCAAAACATCCCCATTCATACATGATTAGTCTTAGCTCAACTAAGATGAGGATAGGGAAACCGTCTAAATTCCTACTGTGCAAGAATAGGCAGCCCAACAAATGTCCTGGATGTGGACAAAAACCACGCGACACGTTGCACTTCTTCAACTGCCCAGCTAAGCCGAATCACCTATTACCAAATTCACATTCCATTCAAGTTGCAGCATTTTTCAACTAGGAGATAGAGGAACCAGGAATACATATATTGAAGATAATGGAATTATTGTATCATCCGACATCTGTGAATTGAGTTCAAAATTATCAAGCATCGACATTTGTCATCTAGTTGTTAATTTTTATAAATTATATTTTTTTATTAATATAAAAATCGGTTTAACTGGAATCTATTAATGTCGCGGTTCTGATTGTAATTTTGTGTTATTGTCATGTTCATAAATCTGTCATTCTTAACCTCAATTTAAGCTAGGGAATTAATTTTAATTGATTAATATTAAATAAGAAGAAATTCCGCAAATAATGGTTGGGATGGTGGCTCAAGTGTCTGGCAAAGCCCAAACAATCCACCATCTAACCCCCAGACAAATCCAATATCAAGACCTTTTCATTCGCTCAACAAAGATGACGTTATGCGATCACTCACCCCCCCCCCCCAGTCTCCTCCCCCCTCTCGAAAAAAGTTCAGCAAAAAAAGCCAGACACACGAATGAAGTCAAAGGCGTTGTTGGAATCTCACACTTGTGGATCCACAACAACAACAATAAAACGCCCTTTTTTATCTTGTCGCCATATAGTCATAGACCACGACAGCGATGAAGATGATGATAAGAGAGCAGGCAAATGGGTATGTGGAATAGGGAATAATAAAAAAATGCGAAACGAATTACTTGAACAAATAAAAAATAATAAAATTAACAATTAACATGACGGACAGACAGAAAAACAAACTGGAGGCTAAGTGAAGTCAATGCGAAGTCATACCCGACAAGACCTACATACGAACAAATTTCTACAAAGAGAAATCACACACACACACACACAAAACGAGAGATCAGACGGACGGACTGAGACACGCCAATCAACTTGTTGTGCCTCCAATTCACCAGAAAGTGATTTCAATTTAAATCCATGGATGGTTGGTTGACCGGCTGGCAGACAATTTTTTTTTTGCCATGGAGCCAATGGTTTGTATTTTTTGGGTGACAAAATAAAAATTGAAACCAGTTACACGGATCAAAGATGCTCATCTCCACAGACACACACACACACACACAAAAATACGCTCACACATATCCAATATTTATTCATTCATTCCTCCAATTCGAATTTCGAAAATGATGGTGAATAGTTCGGAATGTGCCACAATCTTATCCATGCACAAGCTATCATCTAATTGCTGATGCAGCAGAATATTCATGCTCACGATGATCTGGAAGCTTGGTGGCAGGTTTTTTTTCGGTTCTGTTAATTTTTCTTCTTTCTTTTCCAATTGCAAGCCTCATGTGGTGGCATATAGCGCTTGGCATCTTATCCTCATCCACCACCTCGTATGTTGGGGCGCTAACAGTAGTTTATCTTCGTTCTTTTGTGACAGATACATTAACAAGTCATTGCATTGCAGCAAAGATGAACGGTTCTTGTACTTAAAAACAGCTGCCAGTTAGAATCCGACAGCATATTGTCTGCCGCCAGGTCGTCTCTCTTTTTGCAATGAAGGTTTGGCTGGAGGTCGTGTCTCTGTAAAGACAAACGGAATTTACCGCTGTGTCTACATATTGAAGGTACTGTTGTGATTCCAATCAATTTACACCCAATGGGAGTTCACGGGAGCTCGTCCATCGGGTTTCGTATTTAATTTGGCAAATAAATTTGCAATTTATGCACACGCCAAGACAAATGGGAGAAGGTATCCCAAGGATGGTTGAAAATGTTCAATAATAATTTACTTTAAAAGTATAATTTTTTTTTGATCAAGATAACATGAAACGAGGCACGATTTTGGGTGCGGGATTATGGGTAACAGGAGAATAACATTGGACAATCTCATTCAGTTCAGTGATCGAACGAACTATGTCTTTTTTAATATGAACTAGGTCGTTCACTTCATTCACCTGCCTTATGTAGTTCACTTAGTTCAATTAGTATGGTACCGCATTGTAATTAAGCTCTGTCAGATCCACCAACCGTAAAAAAATTTTTACCTTTTATAATCATTCGAAGAACTTGTCTATCTATTTTCTCCACATTTAAGTGGGTGGTGTCCAATGTCAAACCTACGTTATATTCGGCTCCACACTTTTGAACTGCAGTTGCTGCTCTGGACATTTTTGACACTTCTTTCCTGGTTTCCAGCTCCACACTTCCTACCATTTGTCTTTTGATCAAAAAGCTTCAAATTATTTACTGCCCTCAAGCTATGCTTAGAACTCAACTGCATTATTTGTATTTGACCTTTCGAGCATCACATTCCATTAAATGGGGCGGTGTCTTCTTTCATTTTAACAGATAGGAAACTGTTCTGAAGGTCTAGAATAAAGTTCAATATAGTTCAGTGACCGACGCCGTTTCGCCGTTCTCACTGGGTTCGTTTAGTGAACGACGGCGTTTTGTAAACAAAATCGTTCAGTGAATGAAAATTTAACAATGCCGTTCACTCGTTCAGTTCAACTAGGTCGTTCAGGAACGACACAAGACTAATAAAAGATTTCGTCTCCATATTCACCCCAGTGGATGAGGGAACTGCTATATAATCCGTATAAAAGCGAAGTTCTTCTACATCAATCTCATTTGTGCCAACGCTCCGATCGAATACAAATATAAGCAAACCAAGAAACAGCGCCCAGAAACATCCGATGGCCGCTGCAAAAATCGAGAGGAAACATATTTTTGGCACAACTTCGGGAAAATTAAGCCTCCATGAAGTAATAGCATGAGACTTCGCCACATGGCTTTCTTCCGATCAAACAGCGAAAAATCAAATTGATCGAAAGACATGCATTCAGTGTATTAGACGTTCGATGGATACGAGAAGCGAATATCGATTCCTTGTAGCAGTCAAAATTCGAACTTGTCTTAATGT